GCAAAAGTTTTCAAAAAAAATACTAAAGTTTCATGGCTTATCCTTTTTTATAATAAGTTTGCTCGCTTGCTGTTATTACTGTCGACACTGGGTTTTTTTTTCGACTCTGGGACATGTTCTGAAAATTTTTAGATCGTCCACATGAAAACTGAAAGGCCTTCAATATGGTTTTTCATTACTTTTATTAAAATCATCATTCGTGGTAAATTAAATCAAAAATTCAAACAAGTTTTTCTCGACATTGAAAAGTTTTTTTCGGATTTTTAAATAATTTTCGAGTCACGATTGAGCCTGATTTTATGTGATGAAACCCTCGAACCATTCCCATGATTACTTGTGGCAATTGATTTTGAACAGAAAACAAAAACAGATAAAAAAAACTATATTAAACTAAAATACAAGTATACTCCCTTTTTTCAAATAGCATGCAGCAACCAATGCTTACAGTGGTGATATAAATTATCCGGACAAAACACATTAAATTTAAAGTTTAAAATGCGCTTTTCTCAAATTATGATGTTTTAAATGCAAAATTATGATGAAAAAAAAAACGCCAAGAAGTACAATAGACTTGATATGGGGCAACATTCAAACTCATTCAAATTTAAAAAAAAACGCGTTTTAACTTTTGACTCAATGTTTTTTCCGGATATTTTTAAGCACTCTTGTATAACTTATAAATAAAACTAACAAAAGGATTTTAGAATTCTGAGACGATTTCAATTTAGTTGTAAGTTGTCGCAAGATGTCGCATTTTATCACCTGGCTTTGTAGCAAATTTTTGTGATTCTGAAAAATTATTCATAACAAACTTCGTTTACTGAAGATTGTTTGTCTTTTAACTGAAAACACAAAACTTTCAGGTGAAAAAGCAGAAAAAACCGTGCAGAAACATGAAACGACGTCTAACAAACTATCAAAACATGTAAGTACTGGACAGGTTTATTGCAATTACTCATCAGAAAATTCAATTTCTAGAATTTGTGCCAAAAAAATGAAAGACTTACCTAAATTTAGAATGATAAAAAATAAATCAAAATATAAAATATGAATTAAAAAGTACTTATTACGCTTTAGCGGACAAAAACATTGGGATCTTACATCATATCTTTATACATAACTGGCACTTTTATGTTATAATTAATTATAAAAAAAATTGTAGATGCCAGCCTCGGTTGAATTAAACTTTTTTGTTGAATTGCGAATTTTTATTCTTCGACACCCGACTTATATTAGCAAATTTACATGTTTAACGAAGAAAACGAAACTTGCTTTCACAGTATAATAGGCAGATTTGGCAAGAATTTTTGTCGAAAGGAGAATAGAAAAAAGCAAAAACTAAATTCAAAAATAAAGTTCAAAAGTTTGGTTTTTGTTTTTTTTTGCAAAAGTTTCTATTCAACTTCTGGAGTTTTTTATCTCAATAACTGGGCAAAAAATTTTCAAAAAGCATTTTTTAATGGCTTCTCCTTCTATAGTAAAATTGCGCTCTTGCTTTAAATACTTTCGACACCAGGTTTTTTTGACACTGGGACTTTTGTTTGGAAAACTTTTAGTGTCGTTCAATATTCTTTAGTTTTTCTCAAATTTTTCCGTTTTTTTCGCGCCAACTCTTAAGTTGAAAGTGCAGTAAAATACAATCTATACGGATATCCCGCGCATGATTGTAGTCTCCCAATAGTGGTAAAGATCCCGCTATGAGCTTAAAAATGTCCACCATTTGACTTTTTGACTAATGTTAAGAAAAGTTATGGCCAAACAAAAAAAAACCGAAAAAAAAAACAAAAATACACCCGAATTCAAAATTTTTTCTTGTTTTTAGATATAAACAAAATGCAACCACTACTGGAAATTTGGGAGAAATCACGGGAACAAAAATCGCAACATAAAACTGCAAAAGTCTTCTGGCTGAAAAAATCCTGCCATTGAACCTTATGCATTCATTTGAAGTTCTTTTTTTTGCAACATTACTTGTATGGTCAATAAGGTTTTGTTTGCTGTCAATATATCGCAAACTTTTGAAAGATGCATGACAAGTAAACATTTCACGATTCATCCTGTACAAAGAAATTGTCTTTGTACATTTTGAAGATCATAATTTTGTGTTTTCGTTTATTTACAGATTTTTTGAGATTCAATTTTTTTTATTCACAGTTCCAGTTTTTTCATTATAAAACTTCGAGAAACCAACCAGCATTTTCTCCAGGATTTTTTTTTTGAGTACGTTTATTTTAACAACAGTCATTGTCTCTGCTGTTCACGTTTTTTGATGTCTTTGATTTTCCCTGGAAAATGAATTATAGGCTAACTTTGCTCCATCAGTTTGCAATTTTTTTTGAGAGAAAGTCTAAATGAATAATTTTCCCAATTGACCTAAAAATTTTTTCTATTCAAAAACTAGTCAAGTCAAAAATTAAAATGAAAAATCGGTCACGAATGGAAAATTTGCGTAGTTTGGTTTCGGAGTGTAAGTTTTGAAACGTTAGAATTTGAATCTGATTTTGAATTTTGTAACTAGTTACACACTTTAATTGAAAGCTAAATTATTCGCTTGAAGGAAATTTTTAAAGAGCAGTACTACTCATCCATCGTGTAGAGTATCCTGGAGAGGAAAAAAGATTTTTTAGGAACAGAGTTATCTTTTATTGTTATGATTATTTTTTTTTTAATTTTTAACAAGTGCGCTGAAGTTGAATGAAAAACAGCTCGTAAACGTCCAGATATTTTTGAGTACACAAGGAAAAACTGCTAATGGAATCTCATTAGTCCTGCACTACTCTTTCAGATAATGGTCTTTGCTTAGATTTTTGGCTGATTCATGTCTTTGTTTAAGAAAAACTGTTGTCAATTTTCTTTTTGTAATGTCAAAAATCTCAGTTAGGTAAATTTGGATTGTCCGTTTCACATGAGTTTTGTAAAATTAAAGCATCTGTTGATTACAGAAAAAATTTTTGGCTTTCCACGCAATGCCTGTATATTAAGTCTTTTTGCTTTCGTTCACTATGTGGTTTGAAATTACGTTTATTGTCGTTCAGCATCTCAACATACTTGCAATTGTTTCGAACTTGAGCAGAAATACCAAAAACTAATTAAACAATTGAAAAAAATTATCTAGTTTCATCATTTGAGTTTTACCCAGATTGACACCCAAGCAGTTTACTTGGAACGATTTTTCCTTTTTTTAATGTTTTTTGAAAAACTCACAGCAATTTTTTTACTGCGTTGCATCCCCGTAGTATCATTGGCAAATAGCACTATTGCAAACACTACGAGACGCATGGGTTTTCTCGGGTCAGAAAACAGACCTTTTGTTAATAATATCAAAAATCAAACAAAATTAGAGATTCCCCATCTAAGTTTTTGTATTAAATTTGACGCAATTTTATAAGAAACCGTTAATATTCTGTACAACGCTAAAATGCTTTTAACGAAAACCAGTGTTATTGTAACTCTAAGACTATTATTGTTTGAGATAACTATATTAGCTTTTTCAAGTTTCTACTAAACTATTTTTTATTCTGCTTAGTTCTTAGAATTGATAGCGTTATCGATGATAAGGAATAATAAATGGCAGCTCTAACTGATTTAAGTCAGCTGAGCCAAACATTTAAATCCCAACAACAATTGAACCGTGATTTATGGGCCTCGAGTCTGATGATTTGGCATCTGTTTCAACCAGTCAGCGCTGTTCGAGTAGATTAGTTATCATTTAGTATCATAATTGAGAGTTTTTATTTTAACATCTACTTTTTTTAAAGAAATTTTGCCTTAAGAAATTAATCAACTTTTAAGTTTTTTTAAATTGATTTGATATATTTTCTATTCGTAAGTTTTTCCTAAACGATTAGTATTGTGGTTAACACTGTTGGCTCACTATCTAGAGGTCTGAGTGGTCAGCCTTTTTCCGTCACACTTAAGTGCCAGCGCGCGCAGCGCGAAAGTTTAATCCTCTTTCAACGAGACACTTCTAGTTTTTAACTCTACGTACACGAACGGAACAAGACGATCTCACAAAGTAATAGTTTTTCTGGTTTTTGTTTGAGCTGGCTTTCCAAATTTCGGAAAAGACAAGCTAGAATTTTAATTTTTATTCACGTCATTGGGAGAAATCTTATTTTGTTTCCAATAGGGATCGAAAAAAAAGCAAATCAGAATAATTTTTTAAATCTAAAAATGTTTATAAGTACTTACTTACATAGATAGGCGTGTATAATTTGGTTCCACACACCGGATGACCCTCTTCAAATCTGGATAGAAGACAAAGTTTGGCGCATTTTCAATTTGCTCAGCTTGCATATTTTGAGACAGTGAATTATTTAAAACATTTTTTCTCTCTGCTCATAAAGGTTGTTGATCCAGTGTATCTGTTGTGCACTCTTTAAATGAGTGAGCAATTTCGAACGTCAATCCGAAAGAAAAAAAAACTTCTTGTTTTTTAAAATTAATTCAACATATATTCAGGTTATTTCGCACTGGAAATTTCATTTTTTTGAAATTAAAAAATTAAAGACATGCAATTTCCAGTGGTCTCAATTATTTCAATTATTTCTTTGATTAAAAATTCTTTTCAGTATGTTTAAAATTCATTTTTTTTTTCAATTTTGTCAATCTTATCAAATCAATAACTTATGTTAAAACAGCTAATCTTTTCTTGAGTTCCATTGAGTGAGTCTATACCAGCAACTAACTGGTAGTGAAATGGTAAAGCATTTGACCAAACCAACAAAGGAGACAGATCGAGCCCCACTTAATCGTGTTCAGGTTTTTCATCTTTCTGTTTGGTCGTTAGGTAGTTATCAGTTTGCGTTTAGTTTGAACTATTGTAACATGTTGGCACAGTTAAGAGCACTACGTGCTACTTTATGCGCTGCTTTCAAAATCTTTTCCTACTCACCTCAGAAAAAGATAGATAGAACCTCACATCAAAAAAATCTGAAAAAAAAACACTTTTCAAATAATTTGTATTTCTGACAACCATGGTTTATGCAATATTGCTACTAATTAACTTTTATCGCATCAAATAAATTTTGAGCGCGCAACAAGTTCATTACACCTCCTACTTATCGATACTTCACGCAATCGCTCGCAAATCTGCTATATGCTGCCAATTCATTAAGCCACATCTTTGAAAATAATTATCAGTTCCAAATTATAAGCTTATCAACTCGTGTCGTTTTCCGTCTAAGTGAATGCCTATGTTTCAGCAGTAGTCCTGTCACAACTGCTTTTGAATTCTTTCCTTGTCCTTGTTAAATAAAACAATTCTCGAACTTGTCTTATTGATTTCGATTTTTGATTGATTCATCATTTTGCCATTTTGGCTAGTTTATCTCCATCTTTTTAGTCGGTTTTTATCATTAACTATTGTCGCAATTTTCCAAATTAGATTTAGGGCAGCTCCATTTAATATATTTATCTAAATTTGTTTGCCGTTTCGTGCCATTTTGTCGTAATTACAACTTAAGTGCCGTCAAGCTCACGAGAGTCGATATTATGCAAATTACGACCAAGTTTTCATCCTGGTTTTGATTGGCGTCGCTTTTGGTCTTCGAGGACCTGAAAGCGGACCATGGACTGTTGCCGTTGGTCTCGGAAGAGCCTTTTCCTGTTTCAGATGAATGCTTGTCGGATCTAGGAGGAGCAGGATTGACAGCCTTTTGGAATGCGCATTCAAGTGCCAGCACTTTGTTCTGGGCATATATCAGCGGGTCCATCGCCCCGTTATTTTCAATTGCGTCATTGTAATCGCTTCCCGTGATGTCGTTCACACTGGTATAATCAAACGATCTTTTCACTATTTCTCTCTTTTTAATTGGCGGTTGGATTTGATTCGGCGGAACCACCGGATTTTGGTTAGCCGGCGGTTTGGCAGGGGCAACAACTGAGGGCTGAACTTTGGGAGCCGGTTGAACAATAGGCGGTGGCACAACTCCAGCAGTGTCCACTGTTTGGTTACCGGGATTCGCCGCTGGTATGGGGCCGTGGGTGTAGAACTTGCGGACTGTAGTTGTCGTGGTGACCGGATGATAATTGAAATAGTCTGGGTTTTTGTTTTGGTTGTTGTTGTTGTTATTGTTGTTGTTATTGTTGTTGTTGTGCTTTGCTGTGTAGTCGTAGTCAGGTGCACCTGATGATTCTGCAGGTTGGTTTTGAACCTGCAGCTGACAGCCTGGCAAGGCTCTATACATGAGTTCAATGATCCCATATCGCCCTAAATAAGTTTAAATCAGATCACAGAACAAGTTTGAAATAAACAAGCAACACATCAAGAATAGATAAATGAAAGGGAAAGAATTGGTTTTTGTCTTCAAGTGAACTACCTTCATCAGTGAGCAAGAACTTCATGCTTTGGGCATTGTACTTCTGCAACACAAAAGTGGAGTTATAGACGGTGGCTTTGAACTAATAACTGACAATTTAAAAGCGATCGACGGTTGAACGATTAGTTCTAAGTATATTTTACTTTTGCTTCATTTTTGATCAAAGCAAACTTTATACAATCATAATGAACTTCAAATTTTGTAAAATGTCAAAGCACAGCTGATCAAGATGGAAACATTTTGATTTCAACACGCCCAGATTGAACCACAGTTTTTGAAAAGAGAGTGTATTTGGTCTATAATGGGACCAATTAAGAAGATCCACAGGAATAGTTCATCAGTTTAGCAATAGTGATTTTGCTCCTAATTGCAAAGCCCCAGCCAGTATTTGCAACGGACTTTGAAAAAATGAAAAGATGTTAATGGCACTAGCCATAGTGGGGTAGTTCTCGTCGCTCTCTTTTAGCTTCATCTTGTTCAGCACCTTCCGCACCCCCAGCCCGTTGTTCAGTCTCTTGGCCACCCTCATCACACACCTGTTCATCTCCTTCTCCCCCTCCTCATCGGTGACCGCCTTCTCCTTCGCCTCCTCACACAGCCACTGTGCTTTCGTTAGGGCTGAAAACAAGTATTAAAAAAAAATAGCTTGAAAATGAAACTAAAAAAAAACCAAAAGTCAAACCGCGTGAACAAGTTATAGAAGTTCATTACGAGGCCAAACTGTGCACTGGAGAGGCGCACAATTTTGTGTCTGTATGTTTCTGGATTCCAGAGACAAGTATTTAAACATGTTCCAAAATGTGAGTGGATTCCACTTACAAAATTTACGTGGATTCCGCGTACATATACTTGTAACGTAAATTTTGTCAGCTCATTTATTTTGTTGCGGATTCCACGACAAGCAATTATAGCTAGTTGTTCTGGATTCCGCAATTGTAAGTGGATTCCGCAAAATGTAAGTGGAATCCGCAAGTAAAAGC